TAGATAGATAGATAGATAGATAGATAGATAGATAGATAGATAGATAGGAAAAGAGTAGATTCATGGCTGATGTTATGAGAGGACGGCCCTCAGCAACATGCTATACTTAATCTGTACACATTTGTCCATAAACCTAAGAGTTTGTTATCTTTTAATACCAACCTCAGATAGGCAGGTCGGCTGTTATCGACTGGAGGACACACAGCAAATCAAGATTAGGTTAGAAAACCGGATTACATGGTTCAGTTAACTGTGTAAACAGCTTTATTGATTTAAATGAGAAGGCTATCCAAAATTTGTATGCTTGTCTCTTGTTCGGATATGTAACTACATTATTTATCAATGGATTGGGGATATATCCTAATGATACAATTTAATGGCTGTTTTTTCAGTTTGAAAATGTGGAGAACAGCCCACCCAGTCCTCCTTGAACTGGTATTTCAACTTCACTCTTTCATATCTTTCCAGATCATTACACTTGGCGATGCAGTGCAATGTATTGACTTTGCTGAGGGTTGATCGAACTCAAAGGAACGGAGCTAAGTGCAGTTGTTTTTATATCGATATGCTGTTTTCAACTGCACAAATGCTCATTGACAGATGAGGAAAACCATTTTTGACTAGGAGGTTAGAGATCATAAACTTGGCTGTGAAGCAGCACTGTCTGCAGGCAATGTTTAGAAGTACATACTAGGAAGGGTAAACATCAGAGAGAAAACACTGCCAATCAGTCAGCCAGTAAAAGCTGTTCACGCACCTCCATTCAAGGGCCTTTCTCTAATTTTCCCTTTTCATTTTCTTGCTCTTCCTTTCTCATTTAGCCTAAATTCACATCTTCCACTCTGTCATATTCATTACCTATCTCTAGCACACCTATTTAATCTTTTCAGTCTTTCTAACACACAAACGATTTGAAGATACCGAAGGTCCAGCCTCCCACTGTGCTCTGAATGAGCTGTAGAGCCACCCCTGCATCAGGCAGTGGAGCCAGCATGTCTCCCCAC